CTTATAAATCACTTAGGTGGAGGCTGCAGAATGAAGTGATGGGAGTTTTCTGACTGAAACAGGACCTGGGAGGAAATGCCAAAGATGTTCAGCTGCACCTAGAGATAAACCAACCCCACTCTGCATACATTCCAAAAACCATGGCCCAAATGGAAAGAAAATGAGCCTTCGTTTCCTTAAGGACTGCAGTGCACAGAGATTATTTTTGTTCCACTGCTTGTCAAGCAAGTATACTGCTTAACAATGCACTTGCGTAAAGGCGTAGCTGTGTTGATCACAGGGTGGTATTTGACAAGGTCAGTCAATTTAGCACCTCTTTCACCAAATTTTTCCCTCAAAATATATCTTATTCATAACATTGTAACAGGACATTCCAAATAATTTCAAATTCAACATTATAGAAAGTGCAATAGAATCCAATTTTTCTCCATACAGAATGTCCCGTTCTGTATTGTCCCAGTACAACTGCAGTACCTTGATAATTGCAATATACCTTTCACTTCATGTACACCTTCATAGGGTTCAAAACAGTTTTCAACCCCTTGGTGTACTATGGGTGAAAGACCTTAGACAGTGTTCTTTCCCAGTTGTGCCTCTGCAGTGTTTGCTGCACACTTCAGTGTGTGTCTCAACACATAGTCCTGGACATTGGAATGTGCCAGTTCTGTAAAAGTCAGTTGTGAACACTCATTGCACTGAAAAACCTGCAGATTTTGGGCAGGCCAAAGGGCATCTTTCATTAGCTGATGAACATTCCAGCTGCAATTGACGTTTATTTAGGTGTGTGTCCCGGGGAATAACCTGTAGAATACAGAGTCCTGCATCATTAAATTGCTCAGAATGGACCTCAACAAAAACCACTGTATCTCTCTCCAGAACATCTTTGTGCATGTACATTCCACAAATAGATGGAAAGTGGTCACGAACCCACCACAGCCACCATTGAGGGCAATATGCAGAGGAGGTAAATTTTGTTTGCTTCCAGCATACCATCAGTCCATAACAACACAGCTAAGAGGAGAGCAAGCCCTAAGCTGTTTAAAAGCAACCATCGTATTTTGAAGTGCTATCCTGTCTCTTCCGTCTGATGATGCTGCTAACCTTTTATTTAAATACGGAAAGATCTGGGAGATTCATCTAGATCTGGGAGATTCATCTAAGTATTCTTTCTTTCTGAAGGGTACAGGTGTGAGTTAGTAGTTTGATGGACATGTGTTACCTTTCAGTTCAGAGAATCAAGGCTGATGCCAGTCTTAACATTCAGCTTTCAGAGAGCACAGCCAACAGTAACTGTCTCCCAGTTGTCACTGTCAATGTTTACCACCTTCATAACTCATTTATATGCGGGCACAGGTATGGATGCCCAAGAGGTCATGACTTAGTGGCCATTTGCTATCCATAAGGTCTTTGGGTAACTGGCCAATGTCCATCTGATGAACAAGTCAAAGCCAGCTCAGACAATGTTGGATTAGCAATGAGTGTATGCTGATGAAATTAACATTGAGGACCACGGAGTTGTGAACTTTTCCCTCTAAATGGATACATCTGAGATGGTGAAGGTGGAAACTGACCTCTTCTCTGGCCAGGTATATGCTGTCTGAGGTCTCATCGCTGGAAAGGAGTGCGTTGAGGACACAGGATTAGTATCCACAGAGTTTAGAGTCTCAGTCAGGTTGCTGTGTTCCACATGCCCTTAGTCAGCCTGGACATAACAATTGCAGCTTTTGCAATGCATATGCCAACTTTGGGTGTCAACTCACACACTACTGCTGACTGTGGAGCCTATATATATGTGACGCTATCAACAATCTTCAAAGTCACATTGTTAATGCTGATTGATAATGTTACGGCAACATTTTGGGCTGTGATATTTAGCTTCCTGATGCAGGTGGTCAAAACAATCTCTTTCTAGTTGTTAGAATTTGTCTGTTTATTGCTGCAAGTGCTCCTCAGTATCATGTGGTACCATTAGTGTAGAGGAGCTGTTGAGACCATCACCATTTTACTTTCATTTTTTCTCACTTTTGGTTTGGCACCATGAGCTGAAGTTGGGAATGGGACTTTTGAGTCTGACAAGCAGTTTATTTTAAAAAAATGTGAACAAACAATCTCATGCTGACATTCGGGGACTGTCCTGGGAAGTTAGTTGCAAGTTAATTATATCTCTAAAAACACTGCAGACATTTTGGCAAAAGGATGTGTTATGCTGAAGAAAAACGAGAGGTGATCTTATTGAAACATATGGGGAGATGATGATCTAGTGGTATCATCACTAGGCTATTAATCCAGATACCCAGACAATGTTCTGGGGACCCAGGTTTGAATCCTGACATGGCAGATTGTGGAATTTGAATTCAATAAATTCTGGAATTAGGAATCTGATGATGACCATGAAACCATTGTCAATTGTCAGGAGAAACCGATTTGATTCACTGATGTCCTTTAGGGAAGGAAACTGTGCCCTTACCTGGTCTGGCCTACACATGACTGCAGACCCCAGAAATGTGGTTGCCTCTTGACTGCCCTCTTGGCATTTAGGAATGGATAATAAATGCTGGTCTGGCTAGTGATGCCCACATCGCATGAATGAATTTTAAAAAAAATCAGGATTCTTAAGGGGCTTGATACCGAAAATGCTCAGAGGACTTTTCACCTCATGGGAGAGTCTAGACCAGAGTGCATAGTCTCAGAATTAAGTGGTGTCAATTTAATGAGGAGGAATTTCTCCTCTGAGGTTTTGAACTCCTTGCCACAGAGAGCTGTGGGGCAGAGACCCTGTGTATAATTAAGGCAGAGATTCTTGATAGGTCGGAGATTCACAGGTTACAGGGAAAATACTGGAAAATAGACGTGAGGAATGTTGGGTCAGTCACGAGCGATTGAATGGCGGAGCAGGTATTCAAGCCAGATATAATCCCGTGCGTCTGTAATTCAACATTTCATTCAAGGATTTTACGAAAACCTGGTAGTTTCCATTGAACCAGTTGTCGAAACAGGGGATTACAACTCTTTTAGGTTTTTTTCTAATTTAGCCCTTAATGTGTCTATCTGTCTGTCTATGTATCTGAGCAGGAGTTTCAAACAAAGAAGATTGGGTTTAAATCATATACATTAATTACCTTGTTGTTTAACTTGTGTTATCCAGTGTTAACGAGTCTAATTCGGTCTGGGTTTCTATTCCACTGTCCTAACTGAGCTCTCGGATGAAGACCCTAAATGCTCCTATTTCAAGCAGTTCTAGTGAAATGTTACAACCCTCATCTTTCTCTCCGGATGCTGTCTGAGTTGTGATTATTTTCAACATTTTCCCTGACATTGCAATTACCCGCCATTTGATCTCGTGTTCTGGAGGCATTCAGAGCCATTTCTCGTTCACCTGCATTGCTCGCCTTCCAGCCACATCAAACCCTCCTGAACTTTGATCTGAACAAGCGTGTTTCTGAAGAAATAACGCATGTTCAACCCAGTATTTGTGTTTCATAAGACATTTGCATTTCTTTCTGCCGTATTGGCTCGTTAAAATGCCAGGATTTTTGTTTTAATCTTGTCATTTTAAGGCTGCTCTATTAAAATTTTTTAATATGGAGGCAGTAGTTCAACCAGTCAGCCGACCTTCCAATGTTGATATTCTGCAGATTTTGACCTACAACATCTGAAGGTTAGACGTTCTGTTTTAGTCTGAGGTTTCGTGATGCAATGCAGGTAACGTTCTGCAAGCATGGCTATGTTATTGGTTGTAAAACTGACGAATTGCATTGAGAGCGTGGTTACAACGCCCCATTCAAAGAGAGAGACAGGCGTATCGTTTGCGTGACTCAGGCAATCCAAATAGCGTAACATTGTCACAGCTGGGGCATGACTTTCCTCCTCATCGTTCAGTGCGACTTCTCCCCACTGGTATAAACAGCGATCGGCGAAAGGGAGAAGGTGAGTAAAACAAAACTTTGCAGCCCAAATATAGAGAAGGTGAGCACAGAAGAAAACACTTCGTGGGGGAAAACATAAGTAGGGGGTTCAGGATTTTGCACGATTTGACTGTGCAGTAACCTGATGCTTTTTTTTGCTTTGATTCCGACATATTACTGACGCGGTGTTCGATATCAAGGAAATTCTAGTTTGCAGTTCAGTTTTTCAGCTGCTCCTCGCCCTTTTGCGATGATCGGAGCTGGGTTTGCATTTGGCTGCATAACTCTCTCCCCATAATCTCGCACCCGCCGTCTCCTGGGGCGACCGCTGCCCGGGAACTGCCATTAATTAAAAAAAAGACCGGCCTACTGCCCGCCAAAGGCCCATTGGCTCGTCCAGCTGTCAGTCACAACCTGTCTTGGACTTCTTGGCCAAGGAGAGCGAACGGTAGATTGAAATCCTTGTCGTTATTTCGCTGCCGTTTGCTTTCTTTCTTCTCCCTTCGTTTATTCAGGCCGGGAACGTTTTTTTTTGTTAGAGATCTGTTCTGTCGCGGTCTCGAGAGCTCGCCTCACCCTCACCCCCCGCTCGATCATTGGCTGGCCATCGGCGCTTTCGATGTGTGATTGGTCGACGCCGATGTCATTCGACACCGCCCACCCCAGGGCCCCGCCTTCTCATCTCGCTGCGGTCCGCATCCTGAGTAGGAGGTTGCGCGAGGCGGGGCCGGTAAACGGTCACCGGCGGAGGGTGGTGAGGGGAGACCCGGGGTTTAGGGGGTAGTCACAGGGAGAGACCCCGGCGGTTGGTACGACAGCAAAGACCTCGGGGAAAGGGTGGAAAGAAAGAGAGAGATACTGATCTTTGTGGATACATCACCCGAGAGGAAATTGCTTGGTCTAACTCTGTCACCTTCTTTCTCCCTCCCCCACCCCTTGTCCCGCCTTGCCCAACTCCATAATCCACGCTCTCGGCTTCCACCTTCGGCCCCCCGAAAATCCACGCTCTTGGCTTCCACCCCCAGCCCCCCAAAATCCCCGCTCTCCCCTTCCGCCTCCCTAAAATCCCTCCTTCTCTCGCCTTGCATCCTCCCGCCCCAAAATCCCTTCTTTCACCTCACCCCCATCCCACTTCCCAACCCCCTCCACGTGCACCCTCTCCTCCGTCACCCTATTTTGGTTCATTTCTCCACATGCCCCTCCCTCCTATTCTTCCCCTATTCCCTTTTTTTCTCCCGTGGTTGTTCTCTCTTCCTACTGCCTGTTTTTTCATAGTCCTTCCCTCTTGCATTGCAAGTCTTACATGAACGAAGTTGGAGGAAATCGAGCCACACTCCTGGTTCATTATTCTCAAAGTTTAGTCAGAGTTTCCTCTTTAGCATCCATCAACAATCTTGCAATTTCCAGCAGAGCACAGCTTAATTTTGTTCAAAGTTTTCGTTGTTGAGTTGGCCTTTTATGTAGATTATTTTGGAGGACCTTTACTCCTCCAGGCCAGTGTCCATTCTTGGCAAAAGACTAGTTTTGGTTTTATTTTTGTTAACACGAGGCATTCGTTGCATAGAAAGGACCATGTGGTAATTTTTTGAATGCTACCCATATTAATGCCCAATGGCTAAGTGATATCTCTCTCTCCCTTTTAAACCGCAAATGTATAACTTTTAAAGGTCTTGGTTTTAATTTTTGCTTTTTCTTCTTGCAGCAAACTACTTAATTCTTCAGATACAACAAACTTCATTGAAAGGAATCTTGAATTTTTTTTCCCAACTTGAAGTTTCATTCCCAGGCAATCTCTGTTTATTGAGTTATGTCAACAGCTGCACTATTCACCTTGTGTAGATCTGGTGGCTTTCATGTGAGAAGAAGAGCTTTGTTGAACTTTAAACTGCTGCAGGACGAAAAGCGTGTGATTCTGCTTTGTCAGAGTAGTACCACTGATCGAAGGTCTTCGCGCTTTGACGTTGATGGTGGTGGCCGCCTGACATCCTGGGATTCTTTTGGAATTTGGGACAACCGCATCGATGAACCAATTCTTCTTCCACCAAGCATAAAATATGGCAAACCCATTCCTAACGTTAGCCTGAGTAAAGTCGGGTGTGTCACTCAAATAGGCCAACGCAAAGAGAATGAGGACCGTTTCAGTATTGGCATGCTAAGTGATAATGTGCTGTACTTTGCAGTGTTTGATGGACATGGTGGAACAGCAGCAGCTGATTTTTGTCATAAATACATGGCAAAGCATATTGCGTACGTATCTATCAATTGTTAGCTTTGTAAACAATTAACTGGGGCCATCCTAAAATATGTTAGGAAGTATTTCACTGTTGGATCATCATTATAATTCAAACCTGCCTTTTCATTGATGCATACATCTGTTTTTTTAAATTACTGAATGTTATGGGGAAAAAAAAGTTATGTAGCCACAAGTTTGGGCATGTCTTCTGAAGCAGCTTGGTTGAAAGAGACTGCTGTTTGTGTAGCAGTCCTTATCCACTTCCCTTAACTGTACGGTATAAGCCACTTATGGTGTAATAATCTGTACAGATTTAGTTTGCCTAGCGTGTCAGTCCATGGGATGGAGTGTGAACCCTGTATTCAGTTTCTGTCAGCCTTGCACGGGACTTTAAACTAGAAAGTGGGGGGGTAAGGGAAGCGTGAAACTCACTCCAGTAGGAAACAAAGCAGCAGGTTAACATCTCTAGGGGTGGATTCAACTGCGTGGAAAAATATGAAAGAAATGACAGGAATGGAGAACTTGGGAGAGGTATTAGAGTCTCCAGAACAGGCAGTGTGTTTGGAAAGGGTTAGGAATAATTTCAAGCACACTGGACAAACGAATGACAGTAAGAAGAGGGACGGTTAATATAGGACTGAAGGTGTTATATCTGAATGCATGCAGTATAAGGAATAAGGTAAATGAGCTTGTGGCTCAGATCGAAATTGGCAGTGGTGTGTATCATGGAGATGTGGCTGCAAGGGGATCAGGATTGGGAGCTGAATATCCAAGGGTATACATCCTGTCGAAAAGATAGGCAGGTGGGTAGAGGGAGTAGGGTTGCCTTAATAGTAAGAAATGAAATTAAATCTACAGTAAGAAAGAAAGTAGGGTCGGATGGTTACAGATTCCCTATAACCCTGCGTTCTGCCATGGATAATTCCCCTAATCTACACATCCCTGGAACCTATGGGCAATTTAGAATCTGTGTGGGTAGAACTGAGGAACCGCAAAGGTATAAAAACTATAGTTGGAGTTATGTGCAGGCCTTCAAAGAGTAGTCAGGAGCTGGGGCGCAAGATATACCAAGAGCTAGAAAAGGTATGTAAGCGAAGTAAAGCTACAGTGATCATGGGGAATTTTGATATGCAGATAGACTGGGTGGATTGCAAGAAAAGGAATTTGTGGAATGTCTGTGAGATGGCTTTTTGGAGTAGCTTGTGGTGGAGCCCATTAGGGAACAGGCAATACTGGAATTAATGTTGTGCAATGAGGCAGACTTGATAAGGGAGCTTAAGGGGACTGAATCCTTAGGAGGTAGTGGTCATAATATGATTGAATTTTCTTTGAAGTTTGAGAGGGAGAAGATAGAATCAGAGGTAACAGTGTTACAGCTGAATAAAGGCAACTACAGAGCCACGAGGGAGGACCTGGGCAGAATTGACTGGGAGAGGAGCCTAGCAAGGAAAGACGGTGGAACAGCAATGGCAGGAGTTTCTGGGAATAATTCATGAGACACAGCAAAAATTCATCCGTCGGAGAAAGAAGCATACTAAAGGGAGGACGAGACAACAGTGGTTCACAAGGGAAGTCAGGAACAGCAAAAAAGCAAAAGAGAAAGCATATAATGTGGCGAAGGGCAGTGGGAAGCCATAGGATTGGGAAGCTTACAAAAACCAACAGAGGGCAACAAAAAAAAAGAGGGAGAAGATTAAGTATGAAGGTAAGCTAGCCAGTCATATAAAGGAAGACTGTAAGAGTTTCTTTAGATATATAGAGGGCAAAAGAGAGGCAAAAGTGGATATTGGATTACTGGAAAATGACGCTGGAGGGATAGTAGTGGGGAACGAGGAAATGGCTGAGGAACTGAATAATTACTTCACGTCAGTCTTCAGGGTGGAAGACACGAGTAATATCCCAAAAATTCAAGACAGATGGCGGCAGACCTTAGTATGGTGGCCATCACCAAGGTGAAGGTGCTAGAAAAAGGTGGATAAATCATCTGGACCATATGGACTACACCCCAGACTTCTAAAGGAGATAGCTGAGGAGATAGTGGAGGTGTTAGTAGTGATTCTTAGGAATCGCTAGAGTCAGGGAGGGTCCCAGAGGACTAGAAAATCACCAATGTGGCACCCCTGTTTAAAAAGAGAGTAAGACAAAAGACAGAAAATTGCAGGCCGATTAGCCTAACCTTGGTCTTGGGTAAGATTTTGGAGTCCATTGTGAAGGACGAGATTTCTGAATACTTGGAAGTGTATGGTAAAATAGGGCAAAGTCAGCACAGTTTCATCAAGGAGAGGTTATGCCTGATGAATCTGTTAGAATTCTTTGAGGAAGTAGTCAGCAAGTTATACCAAGGAGATCCAGTGGATGTTATCTACCTGGACTTCAAGAAGGCCTATGACAAGGTGCCGCACAGGAGGCTACTGAGTAAGATAAGGGCCCATGGTGATAGAGGCAGGATGCTACCATGGATAGAAGGTTGGCTGTCTGGCAGAAGGCAGAGAGTGTGGATAAAAAGGGTCTTTCTCAGAATGGCAGCTAGTGACAAGTGGTGTTCCACAAGGGTCAGTGTTGGGACCACAACTTTTCACTTTATACATTAATGATCTAGATGAAGGAACTGAGGGCATTCTGGCTAAGTTGCAGATGATACAAAGGTAGATAGAGGGACAGGTAGTATTGAGGGGTCGAGGAAGTTGCAGAAGGATTTGGACAGTTTAAAAGAATGGGTAAAGAAGTGACAGATGGAGTACAACATGGGAAAGTGTGAGGTCGTACACTTTGGTAAGAAGAGTAGAGGCATGGACTATTTTCCAAATGGGGAGACAATTCAGAAATCCTAAAGTGCAAAGAGACTTGGGAGTTCTAGTCCAGGATTCTCTCAAGGTATACTTGCAGGTTGAATCAATAGTTAAGGCAAATGCAATGTTGGCATTTATTTTGAAAGGACTTGAATTTAAAGCACGGATGTATGTCTGAGGCTCTATAAGGCTCTGGTCAGGCTACATTTGGAGTATTGTGTGCAGTTTTGGCCCCCATATCTCAGGAAAGATGAACTGACCCTGGAGCAGGTTCAGAGGAGGTTCACGAGAATGGTCCCAGGAATGAAAAGCTTAACATATGAGGAACATTTAAGGACTCTGGGTCTAAACTCGATGGAGTTTAGAAGGATGAGTGGGGATCTAATTGAAACTTACAGAATACTGAATGGCCTGGACAGAGTGGATATTGAGAAGATGTTTCCATTAATAGTAGAGACTAGGACCCGAGGGCACAGCCTTAGAGTAAAGGGAAGACCTTTTAGAATGGAGTTAAGGAGAAACTTCTTCAGCCTGAGAGTGGTGAATCTGTGGAACACACTGCCTCAGAAGGCTGTGGAGGCCAAATCATTGAATATATTTAAGAAAGAGATAGGTTCTTGATTATCAAGGGCATCAAGGGTTATGGGGAGAATGGGGTTGAGAAACTTATCAGCCATGATTGAATGGCAGAGCAGACTCAATGGGTTGAATGGCCTGATTTATAGAGTAATACAGCATGGAAACAGGCCCTTTGGCACCAACTAGTCCATGCTGACCATGGTGCCGATTCAGCTAGTTCCAACTGCCCACGTTTGGTTTACATCCCTCTAAACCCTTCCCATCCACGTACCTATCCAAATGCTTTTTTGAAATGTTGCCATTATACCTGCCTCAACCACTTTTTCTGGCAGCCCATTCCATATACATAGCACTCTCTGTGTGAAGAATTTGCCCCTCAGATCCTACTTGAATCTTACCCCTTTCAACATAAGCCTATGCCCTCTAGTTTTCAATTCCCCATCCCTGAGAAAAAAGACCATGTGCGTTCATCATATCTATACCCCTCATGATTTTATACACCTCAATAAGGCCACCCCTCATTCTCCTACGTTCCAAGGAATAAAGTCCTATCTTGGCCAACCTCTCCCTATAACTCCAACCTATTAGTCCTGGCAACATCCTTGTAAATCTTCTTTGCACACTTTCCAGTTTAACTATGTCTTTCCTATAAACTGTACACAATACTCCCAAGTGCGGCCTCACAAACGACTTATACAATTATAACATAACATCCTATTATGCTCCAATGTCTTATGGTAGTTCACACTGACTTTTTTTTTTCCAATCTTTGTGGTCTCCTTCCCTTCTTGATACTACTGTATTTTGAAATTTTTCACTCACTTTGGTCTAACTATTTTTTTGAGAGTATTTGTCATTATAATCTAGTAAATTAGCATTCAGTGGAGTTGGCTCTGTTTCAGATGTTCATGTTGCAACACCATTTCCAATGGATTCCTCTTTCAGCACCTTTCCTGAAAGCTTTGTATGTTGAAGTGGCTTTGATACAAAGGGATAACTTATATCCAGCCTCAGTCAGATTCTGTTGCAAGTGCTTTTTTAATTTCTTAGAACATTAAGAAGGATACTTAGTCATACAGCACGGAAACAGACTTTTTCAGTCCAATCGTCCATGCCGAGCCAGGTTTCCCAAACTAAACTAGTCCCATTTGTCTGCATTTATCTAAAACTGGGGGAATGCATTTAATGTGAGAGGGGGAAAGTTCAGAGATGTGAGGGGCAAGTTTTTTTTTAACAGAATGGAAGGAATGTAGAACATGCTGCCAGGGGTGGTTTGGAGGCAGATATGATAGGGGCCTTTAAGAGACTTTTAGCTAAGCACATGAATATGCAAGGAATGGAGGGATATGGACCAAAGGCAGGCAGAGGCATTAGTTTAATTTGGCATAATGTTTGGCACAACATCATGGGCTGAAGGGCCTGTTCCTGTGACGTAGTTCTATGTTCATTTGGATCATATGTCTGGAAACTTTCCTATTCATGTACCTGTCCAAATGTCTTTAAATATTGTAACTGTACCTGCATCTACAACTTCCTCTGGCAGTTCATTCCGTATACACACCACCCTCTGTATGAAAAAGCTGCCCCTCAGGTCCCTTTTAAATCTTTCCCCTCTCTCCTTAAACCTATGCCATCTAGTTTTGAATTCCCCTTCCCTAGAAAAAAAGAGCTTGGCTATTCACTTTATCTATGCCCATTGTTGTTTTATAAACCAATATAAGGTCACCCCTCAACCTCCTATGCTCCAGAGAAAAAGCCCCAGGCTATCCAACCTCTCCTTATGACTCAAACCATCCAGTCCTGGCAATATCCTTTGAAGTCTTTTCTGCACAGTTTCCAAATCATTAATATCCTTGTTTCACAGGGCAAATAGAACTGTACACAATACTCCAAAAGTGGCCTCACCAGTGTCCTGCACAGCTTCAATATGACATCCCAACTCTTTTATACTCAATTCTCTAATGAATGAAGGCAAGCATGCCCAATGCCGCCTTCACTACCCTATCTACTTGTGATGCCACTTTCAAGGAACTATGTACCTGCATCCCTAGGTCTCTCTCTCTGTTCAGCAATACTCCCCAGGGCCCTGCCATTAACTGTGGAAGTCCTGCCCTGGCTTGTCTTACCAAAATGCAGCATCTTATATTTGTCTAAATTGGACTTAATCCGCCACTCCTTGGCCCAGCTGATCAAGATCCCTCTGTACGTAACCTTCACTGCCCACTCTACCACCAATTTTGCTGTCATCTGTAAACTTATTAACCATGCTTCCTATATCTTCATCCAAATTGTTTGTATAAATGACAAACAACATTGGACCCAGCACTGATCCCTGCGGAACACCGCTGGTCACAGGCCTCCAGTCTGAAAAATAACCCTTCATTACCACCCTCTGCCTCCTACTGTGAAGCCAGTTTTTTATCCAGTTGGCTAGCTCTTCCTGGATCCCATGCGATCTAACTTTACTAACCAGTCCACCATGCCGAACCTTGTCGGAGGGTTTGCTAAAGCCTATATAGACAATGCCTACTGCTCTACCCTCATCTATCTTCTTGATTGTGGGTTTAGAGTCACATGTAGGCCAGATCAGGTAAGGACGGTAGGTTTCCTTTTTCTAAAGGACTTAATGAACCAAGTGGGTTTTTCTGACAATTGGTGATGGCTACATAGTAATCATTAGACTCTTTAATTCCAGATTTTTTTTTAAGAAATGAATTCAAATTTCGTCATCTACAGTGGCGTAATTCAACCCTCGATACCCAGAATATTACCTGAGTTTCTGGATTCATTGTCTAGTGATGCTACCACTAGACCATCACCTCCCCTCCCCATTTTAAATGCAGACCACATCTGAATGAGCCCCTTTCCTAAAAAAATCCATGCAGCTGTTATTATTTTCTAATGAAATTAGTAGAGATTTATTTACCAAATTCGATCTATGTAAGAAGCTGACTTTAAAGGCTATTGTATATTTTATTCACCATATTGCTTACTCACATCACTGCTAGCACAAGTTTTTTTTTTCTTCGTCTTTCTGGGAGCCAACTTAATGTTGTCGTAGCATATACTGATCTAGCCACCTGCAAATAACTTAGCACCACCTGGCGATTGTTCTTAAGGCACCCATGGCTATCCACCTTATGGAGTGGAGTTTTCCATTATATTCACCAGTCTTTTCAGTCTGTATTTATGTCCCAGCTATCTTTTGATTTTCTCGTAGTCTCTCCTATGACTTGATTTCCTTCTGGACTATTGAGCAATCCCTGGTGTCTGTTCATTATTGTGATCCCCTGTGTAATTTTGTCAGCTGTGGCTCAAGTGAAAGCTTGGTTATGCGTTAGGTTATGGGTTCAAGTCCAACTCCAAATCCTGGAATACAATCTAAATTGATGCCAAGCAGTGCTGATCAGGTGCTGAACTGTTGGAAGTGTCATGTTTTGCTGTCTGATCTGTCCTCTTTAGAAAAAATAAAAGTTCCCATGGTACTGTCTTGAAACAGGCATTAGCCCTGAATTTCTAACACTGTAAATTTTTCAACAAATACTAACAAATTGATTTTCAGTGCTATTAATGGGAGCCTACTGTGCTCAAATTGCTTTCACATTTCCTGAAACAGTAATGCATTTCTAGAATACTTAATTGTCCTAAAGAGTCTTTAAAGTTATGGAAGATGCTTCATGAATAAGTCATGTACATACAAATGTACAGCGCAGAAACAGACCCTTCAATCCAACTTGTCCATGCTGACCAGATTTTCTAAATTAATCTATTCCCATATGCCAGAATTTGTCCCGTATCCCTTTTAACACTTTCTATTCATATACCCATCCAGATGCCTTTTAAAAGTTGTACCAGCCTCCAGTCTTTGAGCTTTTTTAAAAAATTCATTCATGGGATGTGGAATTCACTGGCTTGGTCAGCATTTGTTGCCCTTGAGCTGAGGTGTTTGCTAGGTCATTTCAGAGGGCAGTTAAGAGTCAACCACATTGCTGTGATTCTGAAGATACGTACAGGTCACATCAGGTAAAGATGGCAGTTTTCCTTCCCTAAAGGATATTGGTGACCCAGCTGGGTTGTTACAATAACTGGTGCTGGCTTCATGTGCATCATTAGACTTTTAATTCCAGATTATTATTGATTTCAAGCTTCACCATTTGCCATAATGGTATTCCAGTACATGTCAACAGAACATTCACTCGCTCTCTGTCTCAAGCCCCTTACCCATATTACTATTATCTTATCTCACTATATATTTTTTCTAATTTATTGCATCAAGTATTCTCTTTCATGATTTCCTCCATTTCTTGGCAGCAGTCTACTATTTCATGCTGTTCTGCAGCTTTGATCTCCACTGAGTTATTACATTTCAGTGGTAGCCAGTTGAACTACGTGGCCAAAGGAAAATAACTTAAACAATGGGTGTTGGGTTTTACTTTATCTATGTAAAGCCCATTTTAAGTATTTCTTTATTCTCTCTACCTACATTTATGTGTTTCTCACAATACCTTGAAATCAACATAACTGTAAAAATAATGTTTGCTCCTATTTTCATCAGAAATAGTGCAGTGCCAGCATATAGTGTTGTGACATTCAGCATAGGGTTGTAACAGCTGTCACATTCAACCAAGATGTATTTACATCACCGAATGCTATATGAAAGCATATCTGGCGTGAGGAACAGTAAATTAATATCTTTCATCACAATTTGACAATGAAATAATAAATTCTATTTTACAATCCTGTTTCAGAAGGAGACAATTTACAAAGTACAGTTTTGTTTCTTGCAAGTTACTACAACAGTGTAATAACCAGTATATTGTTCTTAAAGTTATACTTGTGACTTTCATGATCTCAAGGGCATCTCATAGCACATCGCAGCCAATAAATCATTTTTCAGTTGTGGTTACTGTTGTTAAGTCAGCAAATGCAGCAGCTAATCTGCATATAGCAAGGTCCTGTAAGAAGTGTGGGTTAAAATTACCAGTTCAGAGATACATTATGATGCCATGAAAGTGCCTTTAAATAGCAGAATATTTTGTATTCACTTGACATCGAAGAACACTGTGCTGAAAGATCTAGGGATCTCATTCTAAGCGTAGATTTCACCTTTTCCTGAGATTGACTTTGACTTTGTTTTGATGCCAGCTAAAGGAGATCTTCTTCATTACAGAGCATCAAAGAAATCACGTCAAAGACCACATACCTCAAACTGAAAACTATCCAGAAGTCACTGACTCGGGCATGAATGACTACCACTGATTACCCTTTTTACATTTTCTAATCAATTTGCAGAGACTTCAGGGTAACGACTATTAATGCTGTCCATTTCATAACTTTTACCATTGTTATAGTTGCAGATTCGGGGCCACAAACTCTTAACAGTGCAGCTCCACCTTGAAGTGGAGCTTGACCCCATAGCCTTTTGACTTTGCAAGAGCACTCTTAGCTAAGCTGACCAATGTGTCATGTTATCAAAACAAATCTGCCCCATTAGTTGCCCATAAAAGTAAAATTAATATTCTTTTTAGCAGTTGATAGAATCAGGCTTGCCTCAGTGGTAGCACTTTTGCATCTGAGGCAGACTCCCGCCAATACCCTGAACAAATAGCAGTCAGAGCTATATTATTTTGGAGGAGATGTTAAACAGAGTTTCTTGTCTGCCTTGTCAAATGATAGAAGGAAAAATATCCATGGCATTGTTTAACGACAGGCTGATGGGTTCTGTCTTCTTAATCCCTGGTCACCATTAAAATGTGTTTTTGAGCGTTATTGTGTTGCTGCTTGTTGAACGTAGTGTGCAAAGATGTTGGTGTCTTGTCCTACATTACATCATGTTGTACCTCAAACTTGTTAGTCAAGGGCTTTTGGATTTTCTGAGATGGTATAAAAGTCTCTAATTTCTTATATGGTGTATGTCACATTTACTTTTTATTTTGTTGAAATAACTGTTACTATTCAGTACTCCAATCCATTATTTCTTCAACCTGAAATTTCAGACCTCAAGTAAGTTAGTTATCTTAGTGAATTGAAAATGTCCATTTAATAATAAACATTTGCGTTAGTGTAAAATACATGAAAGTGTTATTTACTCATAATTTCATTCTTACTTCTTTAGACAATGCCTTTCACAGGAAGAGGATCTGGAAGTGGTATTGACCAGAGCTTTTTATGAAACAGATAAGGAATTTGCAAGACATGTCCATTTATCTGAAAATGGTAGGTACCTCTGTTTAATATCTGCCTTTAGTAAATAAATTGATTTGTTGAAGTAACTAACTTTAGTGTGGATGTCAGTAAACATATATGCTTTGCCAAGTAGTTAAAAACTGATTTTATTTTAAAGAGCTGAAGTTGATTTGGTTTATACTTTAAACCTCAGGGTTAATACTGTACACGAAACTAGTTTTCTAGTTGATTGCCAAATTAATGCTGGTAAGGAAAAATGATTCTGCAATAGGACTGTGAATAGATTTAATTTATTTGTTCTAACAAAACAAAAACATTATGCTGCTGGATTCAAATGTCATAAACTGCTGCCCTCAAGCTTTTTGCTTTCAACTGAGCCAAAATCTTTGTTAATCTTTTTATTTTCTTGTAGTATCAGATAATTTCTTTAAAAGCCAATAACTAGCATAATTACTCACTGCCCTTTTTATTGCCACATGATAAATCAATAATTTCTTAAATTTCTAATATTGCATATTTTAAATGAATTTTAAAAAAGCTTAACTTTTAATTTTGTTTTCTTTCATGTTACTGTGAAACTTTATAGTCTTTCAGAAAATTATGTTATTTTTCAAATGCAACCTATTGTTCTGTTAACTTTCACAGTAGTAGGATATACTCATTTTTAATTTTGTAAATCTAGTTAAAGCAAATTGTCAAAGATCTTTACATTAGTTTTATTTTTATACACCATGCTAGTCTGTTTAAGCCATTGATGGGTCATAAATCATTTTATTCAAGTTTTTATAATTTTAGGCACCAATGGATGGATGGATTCTCCTAAAGAAGTTAATAGTAGGAGCTCTCCTCTGTACATGAAACTTGATTTTCTTTTTGGATGTACTGATGACCAAATGAAATTACACGTTTTTTCATTTCTCCAGTAAACACCCTAAAATTATAAATTTATGCTGAGGATTTCACTTCAATATTCATACCTGGAAATTAGTTTATAACATTTATATAACTTAAACACCACTTATTCCTCCTGTAGTCGAGATTGCTGTTAAAATCTTTGAAAGGAGGAAAGTTGGTCCAGGGATCACGAGAAATATTAAAGCAAAAAAAAACATGCTTCGCTGAATTGGAGTTAAGTTTGTTGCAGTGACAAGTTTACAAGAAATCTTTGAAGAGGTAATGGGAAAGCAGTGAATGTAATATATTTGGATTTTTAGAAGGCTATTGATAAGGTAACAAACATTGTGCTACTTAATAAGACCACATAGTGTTGGTGTAGTATTTTAGCATAGATAGAGGATTAACTAATTAATGGAAGACTGAGATAAGGGGACATTTTTTTTAGATGGCAACCTGTAATGAGTAGGGTGTTATAGAGGTGAGTGCTGGGACCACTTTATTTACAATACATGTTTAACGGTTGATGAGCAAAGTGAATGTGCCAAAGCTAAGGTTGTAGCTGATAGAAAAGTAAGTGGGAAGGCCAGTGGTGAAGATAACACTACGCAGAGGGATATAGACATGTTAAGCAAGTGGGCAAAAACTTGGCAAATGACATTATAATGTGGGAAAATGAGGTAACACACTTCGGCAGGAAGAATAGAGGAACTGAATATTATATAGCTACGGAGCAGATTTCAGGAAAAATATACTGGCCTAGACAGCAGATCAGAGAAGGTTTACTAAGCTGATACCAGGTATGAAGGATTCCTTTCATAAGGAGTGGTTGAGTAGATTGGGCCTGTATGTATTAGAATATGGCAGAATGAGAGACAACCTTGTTGAAATGTAAATGATTGTTGGGGAACTTGATAGGTTAGATATGGAACAATTGTTTCCCCTGTGGGCCTGTCTAGGAACAGATGGCATAATCTCAGAATAAAGGATTGCATTTAAGACACATGAGGAGGAATCCCTTCTCTCAAAAGGTAGTGAATCTGTGTGGAATTCTTTACTACAGGGACTGTTGAGACTGAGCTATTAAGTATGTCTATGCCTGCAATTGACAGATTTTTAATCAGTATGGTAATTATAGGTTCTGGGGAAAATTGGAGTTGAGGATTATTCCTACATGACCTCGTTGAACTGGCTGAATGGCTTACTTCTACTTCTACAAATTGTGGACTTATGATTCCATGGTTTTCATACTCATTAATTAAGAGTGCAGTGTAAATTTGGCTTGGCTGTTGGTTTTTGTACATTGCTGTAACATGAATCGAATACTTATTTTACCTCTGGTAGCAATATTTGAATACAGCTCATCCGAAATAGCTCATGGCATTCTTAGTTCTGCCTTTAGGGAAATGACTCTATAAATCACAAAACTTAGTTTAAGATTAACCATCCTTGTTTGAAGCAGCAAATGTGACCAACTTGGGAAAAGAAACTTCACACCAGTGTAAGAAAAACATTTGAGTACTGGATATAAAGTATGTTGTTAAGACGAGATAGAGAGAGTTATTTCTGTGCCTCAGCGCCATCCTAGTCTTTCTGTAACAGTCCATTTTCTTTGAGCAGGACTGCTTCCTTATAGCTTAAAAACTACCTCTGACACGTAGAATGTTGTAGAGCTTGATTTAGAGGAAGAAGACAATAGTCAGTAGTGAAAGGTATTTGGCAGCCGTGTGTACTCATGCTAAAAGAGAACATTTAGATTAACTTTTTTTGGAGTTAGTGGTGAATATTTCAAGAGACAAGCACTTTACATTAATAACATCATTTACTTATGAAGCTCAGAATGCCAAAGTAGTCCTATAAATGGAATGTTGTTGCTTCCTGGATGTCAACGAGTTCATACTACTTTAATTTCAGGAAGTCAAAGAGTTCATATTTCGTCTAATTCCCAATAGTGGGTCAGCTGTTCTAGCCATCAAGTAGTTTTGATTGTGGAAATGTTTCATTAACAAAGCTGTCCTTAAGCGTATGCAACTCTGTGCTGTGAATAGGAGAGAGGATTGCTGTCTGAGATTTTAGTCTAAATGAGAGGCATTGACCTTCAAGTTATTTCTACCTCTCCAACAAGGAATTCATCAGCAAATGGAAGAGAGATGAAAATAAGAAAATGGGAGAAAAAGATATTTAATTTTTTTTAAAGTGCTGGAGCAGAGAGAGAAATTAGGAACAAAAGGAATAAACATTTGGGGAGAGAAAACCAGAAGAGAAGTGGATGAAAAAATATTTTGAAGCATTTGACTTCATTATTTACACTCACTTCTGTAACAAATTTCCACAGATTACATTACTTTTCCAACATTTTACCTTGCTAAAATTAGAACAATAGTTTTGGAGTTTACTGTTGGGAATAGTGCATAAGAGGAACTGGGCTGCAGAGCAAATTTAGTCATAAAGACAGCAGTCTTTTAACAACGTTTTTCTGAAGAAGGGTCTAGGCCCGAAACGTCAGCCTTGCTGCTCTCTGATACTGCTTGGCCTGCTGTGTTCATCCAGCTCTACACCTTGTAATCTTTTAACAACATTGGGAGACATTTATGTGGCTGCAGGTTCAGGTTTATAGAGAGTCTGAGATGATTCGTACCTTTCACTTTCATGTATTCCATTGAATATAAAAGATAAGGAGCAATCCAGTAATAAAGCTAATGAATGATGTGTATAGATAGATGGGAATGTTTCCATTTCAGGAGTCCACAGCAAGACAACTTCGACTGAGAAATAGAGCTGGGTTATGAAGATTCGGATTTGCTGTAACTTACTAAATGGTGGAATAAGCTCACAGTGCAGAATGACCTTCAGTTCCAATATTTCATGCATCTGACCATAGTGCTAGTGTTTTTATCATAACTTGTATGGTTGATTCTTGTCTTAATGCTTTTTAGATGGAAGGTAATTATGCCTAATAATGAGTGTGTTCATTCACAATGTTTCTGTGATAATGCAGAATTGGAAAGCACAGAGAAACCTTGCAAACTACTCTGAAAGAACCAAAGGTATCAGTTTTCAATCAGTAACTCTTAAGTGACCAGGCTGCCTTAAGTCACTTAGCATTGCCAGTGTGCTCTTATACATTACTAAAATTATTTAAAACCTTACTTTTGTCCTCTTGGGGAATCTTGCCTTTTAACCTGTTTTACCTACTTTTCTAATCAACCTGTTCAGAGATGTTATTGCATACCTCTGGAGCAGGTGGGACCTAAACTCTGGCTTCCTAGTCCAGGGTAGGGGCACTGCTGCTGTGCCAAAAGAGGGCCAAAAATATTTTGAAGCAACCTGACCAGACATGACATGACATGACCTACCTCTGGAACAGGTGGGACTTAAATATGGGCCTTTGATCCAGAGGTAAGGATGTTACCACTGCACCATGAGAATCCCTTAGATGAAACCAGTCAGCAACAATTTGGCAAATTGTGCATATTTACATATTATTCATCTTATTGTGATTCCATATAATATATTATTGAATTTACCAAAATTTGAGGTATAGTGGACACTGAAGAAGGTTTTCTGAAAGTACAACGGGATCTTGATCAGATGGAGTTTAATTTAGATAGATGTGAGGTGCTGCATTTTGGAAAGGCAAATCAGAGCAGGACTTATACACTTAATGGTAAGGTCCTGGGAAATGTTGCTGAACAAAGACAACTTAGAGTGTAGGTTCATAGTTTGTTGAAAGTGGAGTCACAGTTATAAAGGATAGAGAAGAAGGCGTTTGGTATGCTTGCCTTTACTGGTCAATGGATTGCCAATAGGAGTTGGGAGGTCATGTTGCAGCTGTACAGCACATCGGTTAGGTCACTATTGGAGTATTGCATTCAATTCTGGTCTCACTGCTATATGAAGAATGTTGTGAAACTGAAAGGGTTCAGAAAAGATTTACGAGGAAGTTGCCAGGGTTGGAGTGTTTGAGCTATAGGGAGTGACTGAATAGACTGGGGCTGTTTCCCCGGAGCATCGGAGCCAGAGGAAGGCCTTTATAGAAGTTTATAAACTCATGAGGGGCATGGATAGGGTAAATAGACAAGGTCCTTTCCTGAGGTGGGGAGTCCAAAACTAGAGGGCATAGGTTTAAGGTGAGA